GGTAGTGAGAGCCATTCTAGGCTCCCATTTCCCGCTGACCACCATTTTGAAAAGTAATAATATAAATAATGTAATTCTAATTCCAATCGTAATTAAACAAATTGCACTAGTTAGTGAATGAATCTACGGATGATATGAATACATATATAAACAAAATAAAATAATAATCAAGCTTCATGCTTACCTTGTCGCTGGCAATCCACAATTTTTTATAAGGACGCAGCGAAAAACAAACAATCGTCCCTCGTGACTGAACTCATTGCACTAACGGCTCGTACCGGTCAGACGAAGTTTCTCGAATGTTGGCGGAAGCAGCCGAATGTTTACCAATCACGTAAGTTGCCTACATTCCGTTCAATCACCATAGCTCCCATTTCCCGACCGCTCCCATTACCCCGCGCTCCCCTACATACAAAGTTGGAATTGATGTTAGCTGAAGAACTGTCAGATATCAGCTAACAAATGTGGGACCATAAAATTTACGTTCTGTGTCTGTAGTTAAAAGTTGGTTTATCGATAATTTGAAATAATCACATTGGAATTATCTTATACTAAATATAATGAACCTGATAAAAATGCAATATTGTACAATCAAGTGGGCCACTTATGACCACTCGACTCTGTTTGAAAATGCATTCTAAAGTAAAAATTTGAGCCTTACACGAATCTGATGCCAAAAATGGTGGCTACTATTTGAATTTCCAAACTTGTCCTACAAATGATCTCTAAGGTGATTATGAAGGTCATGTTTGAGGTTATCGATATATTGCTATTTTAATATCCTGAAACTGTTGTTAAAACGTTAAAACGCATTTTCCGAGTATTTTTAAGTAAGAACCCTTTTGTAATGGACTCAGAAAAACTTTATTTATGAACGTAAATTGTATCACAAATTAAAAAATTAACATTTTTTCATTTTTTAAAGTAGTCACCATAAACATGTAAACATTAGTAAACAAGTCATGGCACCGGCTTTTGGATCCCGTTGTCAAAGAACGTTGCCGCCTGACAGATAAGTCACTTAGTAACTGTTTCTGTCAAAATATCATTTTCCAAGCATTTCCCACCGAGAAACTTCTTCAGTTTTAGTAACAGGAGGAACTTTTTTGCATTTGAAAACCGAATTACTGAGTGCACTTCACAATCGGCGGCGGCGACAAGGATACAAACAAAGCAGTGTTACCACACAACCAACACCGACAGAGAACGTGAAACGTGATGCCGGCATAGTGATAGACAGACATAGTATCTGGGGTTGAACTGATGTCACGTGACAGGATGCGCGAGCAAGATGCGCAGTCGGTTCTTACTTTAAAAATGGCACTTGTATATTTACGCATTCATACGCGTTTACTACGTTTTGTATCAGCAGATATCCGCTGGAAATGCCCTTAATTCACCCTATACCTTCCCAGAAAGCCTCCTATCTACCTATCTGACCTAATTTATTCCAAATAAGCTTAAAGACACGTTTCGACTGCCATCATGGCGAGCAAGCACATTTGGCGTCTCGGCATCAGCACATCAGCGCCGGCATTTAGTCATAATGTGTTTACCGACTTAAGAGAGGATTTGGTGCTTTGCAGCTTACACTACACCCTCGTTAAGTTAACACAGACAACAGATGAGAGGAAAGCCTGTTACGTCAACAGTCAGATTGTGCTTATACGTGCATATATAGAGGCACTGGGTGGTAATGAGCAGAGACATATTGTTCTGGAAAAAGTTGGTACATTGGATAACGTGCTTTACAGGCAGTTATGTTTCAGTCCGAAATATACGAGAATAATTTGAGTTAAAAGGAATACCAATAATAAATAAACGAGCAAGTAATTTAATGTGTATTCATCGGTCGGCCGTGGTAATGAATGTTATCACAAGACTCATAAGCAAGCAAAATGTATTTATGGCTGTCACCTAAATACATCATTGTCGTTTATATTTATTACGTCATCATAGGCTGAGATGACGATTACAGTTGAATCTGTCATTTCAAAAATCACTAAAGTCCATTTTTGCCAATATAGATTTTACCTAATGCGCCACTGGGCGAGGTAGTGTGATCATGGAAAATTTTCAAAATGTATAAAAATTTTTTGATGTTAGTATATTTTTACTCTCCCAACCCCGGTATTTATATGCACTTACAAGTCCTATTTCATACAACTTGAATTTCTCCGTACATTTGCCTTTTGAAACTTTGAATGATAGAGAAATGCTTTCAATCCGTGTACTTCTGCTATCTAAGCTAGTCGCTCGACATACCGGTCAAGATGACTAATCTATCTGTTCTGCGTCGCAAAAAAATATACACGGGATGAACGATAACTTGCTCCAGCAGTGCTGCGGTGGGCGGTGCTGCGCAGATGACGGAAGGGACAACGTTGCCACATGGACGGTAACTACAGGAAGGGCAGGGAAAGATGTCTACGGACTAATTGTATAAGCCTAATTGACTGATTTGACTTGTTTAATTTCTCTGTTCTACATGTTCTTAACTGGCATTTTTCTCAAAGAATTTAAATTGCGCTCATTTTATTCTTTTATGAACTGATGATAGCGTGGCATGGGAAGTACATACAGTGCAACCTACTTGGCGGCATTTTTTACTGAAAACGCTTCATTAAAGTAGGTGCGTATTCTGGGTATACACTCTGTAAGTGATTATTTCCCCTTCAAATAACAGCACTTAATACACGTCCTGTGCAAAAACAAACTATATATTAGATGGTGGGTACTTACTTTAAAAAAGAAACAGCATCACTGTGTTGTTTCATTCTACTATTTATGTGCCATCTGCACCATATTATTAATTTTCACTTCACTAACTGCGAAAATGGCTTATCCGCTTTGTCCAGTATCGCTTGTTTCTTATTTTCTACCAAAACTATCGACTCAATCGTCCTCATTTGTAAGAATGGGAAGATTCTTTAAATCTACTCTAATTTGAATAGCTGTTCGTATAGATAGCATAAAGATGGATGGAATAACACACGTAAATCATGGCATGTCAATTTCTTTGTTGAAAAATGCATTCTGATGCTTGGTAGTCAAATAAATGAGTGGGTCCTTCTACAAAGAATAAGTCTATGTACTTTTTTCACGATGGTCGATTTATCGTGTGGATGCAAAAAGGTAAACTGGATTTTGCTAGGTGTTTACTTTGTCTAGATCTCCCATACGTAGTAAAACATGCAAAATTAAAATCAATTTAAGGTAATTTTCAATAAGCAATGAAAAATATGATTAATATGATTCTGATGCTTCAGTTATGTACCCCACTAATTCTATTTCCTGCTAAAACAATGTATTTCCATAACAGTTTTTTGGGATTTCTCCATTATTTTTTTAAACGGTGAATGTTTTAATCTTTTAGAACTCAAACGTTCAAACGTATCATTAAGTCCAAAAAAGTACTTCAGAACTGGTTTATTTGTTAGTGACGCTGTTTTTACTGTATGTACGTTTTTTCCGATTCCAGTTGAGCTTATTTATTCTAAATCTCAACCCTCTAAACAAAAACGTACAGAAAATTAAGCTTTTCTTTCAAGCTTTGTAGAGACAAAGTTGCAATATTAAAAAGCTTGTTGATTGGACCTTATTTATTCTCAAGCTCAACCTTGTAAACGAAAAAATTTAGAAAATTAAGCTATTTTTTCAAGCTTTGTAGAGAAAAGTAAGTTAGCTTCATCTCGGGGATTGCAATCCTGCGTCGCAGATTCCCGTTCCACTTAATGGTCCGCGAGGGACCATTGATCCGCTTATCACGCAAGTTTAAAAATTAGCCCTTAATCTTTCACGTAAGAGCGCGAAAATTCAACAATGTTTCTTCAGAATTCTTGGTATTCTTCATTATTTATATACCGGGTATCACCAGGCGGGGTCAGAATGTGTGCATGTTGTATGGACACGTGTTCCCTTTTCCGTGATTTCCCTTCTAGCCTCACGGTACCCATGGGTGTTAAGGCCTCAGGCCTTCGTGTTGGCTCAAGTATAAAAAAAATATTACTTATACAGGTTCCTTCAAAATGAACGTCAACTAAATATTTGTATAGTCCTCAATTGAGTTTACTTACCTAGGCCGAAAGTACATCACTTCTGAGTGATCTTTTCACACTTGTGGAAAACATTGGCAAAATCCGAAGCAGACTGCTTAAAATTCAAACCGAATTTAGGTATCTCAAACAAGCTGTAACTTTATTTTTCAGTTTCACGCGAATCAGAGAAGAAACAGGATCTTCTCAAATTCCATTTTTCGAGTTTCTGATCAGCTTAGGACGTAGGAAGCTACATTTTTTAATCTAAGGCGAATGTCACACGATCAGTATTTACTGATGATTCCGTCAGTGCCGGTGGATTTCTACGTAACCTCATACATCAATAATTACTGACGTCCAGGCTACATAGTCAATTCCGTGGTAAACACTGACTGATCCTGAGTTATTCGTCTAACGATACGTATATACAGGTATATGTCCGGTCACTGACATCTGTCCGGTAATCTTTGGTATCTCTATATCTCAGACAGTACTGCTAATTTTGATAAAATTTTGACATGAGTTGCAATTATAGAGAGAACCAAAAAGTTTACTGTTTTTGAGAATTGATCCAGTAACAGATGAGCAATCGTAAAAAATAATCATTGACTGATGGGAAGCAGCCGCCTTGTCCTGGTATTTACGCTTCTGCCGCCGCGGCTGCTTCGCTATTAAAAAAATCAATCTCGCGGGATTGAATGAGTTGTGAGATTGAAGTCCCTACTCCCATTTTTATTAGGCCAATAATTGATGGTTAATTATTTACTTTACTGACGTTTGTGTTGTAACAGCAGCTTTCAAAGTACGACATAAAAAAATGCTGAAAATGTAGCTTAACTTCACTTCTAGGTTAAGACCTTGGAAGGCTGTTGTGGCAGCTTAGTGACAATAAAATCATGAATTCATCATATCACTCACAATAGCCACGAACGGGCATTGGCTTATAAAAATTACAGTTGGACATACTTTAAAATACTTTATTTCTATATCACTTGTTTTTATCGCTACCCATAGGGAGAAATGCAGTATATTTTTGGTATCAGCACAAAAAGCTAACATGATCATGATTTTATAAAAATCAATCAGTCTTGGTTTTATCAGCCATGCGTCTTATATCGATATTGTATTTCTTGAAAATCTTCATCAAATCGCTGTACATGCCATCCTTGTCTACGTCGTTCACACTGGGTTGTTCAGTAGATGTCCGCCTTCTCATAACATCGCTGTCAAATGTTATTCTGGAGTCGTCTTCAAACTCCGAGCCAGCTCCTAGACTAATACCTTCTATGTTGTTTTCTGGATTGTCTTCTAGTGCTGGTACACTCGTGGTCCTTTCAGTACTTGGTTGCATGTTATAAGGGTTGAAATTGGTATTATAGAAATTGCCTCCTGATTCAGGAATGCTGTTTGGTTGCATATTGTAAGGGTTGTAGTTTGTGTTGTACGGACTTCCAGCTAGGTTAGGATTGTAATCCTTATTGTAAGGATTCAAATTGTTATTGTAAGGATTACCAGCAATAGTCCTTGAATCTGGTACATCTTGACCAGGACCTGCATTTGTTGCTACTGGGTTGTTATTCGTATTATACTGAGGGTAATACGGCATTGGAGCTCCATAGAAAGTGTCTATAGCTTGGTTGATTCTTCCACAGGTGCTTCTAACGTAGGGAACTACTTTCTTTGCGGTGTTTTTGACCTTTTCTCCCTGCAAAAGACAAACAAGCTCAGTTATTCAAATCATAAGAAGTCCAAAAACATAATAAGCCCAGAAAAAGTTATAATTTGTTTTCATATCATTGCTGATAATATATACATATAATATGTCCACCAGCTACACACCATACTTTTTAACAACTTTTTTAATCATCTATCAATAATTGATGGACTTAAGAGACAAGAGAAACGAAACGTCTTTCTGATTTTAAAATTCCAGTGCTAATAAAGATCCACCATGCGTCAGTCTATGAAACAGACCGATCAGTCTGCCCAATAAGGAACTGCAAAAATATATTCGAGAACTCAAAAAATAAAGTTTGTAATATTTTTAAGCTCGTATACTCGTACGAAGTTTATTGACATGCCCTAAAATTATGAAAAAATTTGATGACGTATAAAAATTTCTGGATCCGTTCACTACTCAAAATTCTTGTTAAAATTGTATCCAATTTATAGGACATCCAGAAATGCAGTTTGAAAATATTCCAGAATTACGTCCAAAATCAAGAAGACCATGAGAAAAATAGAGTGACTTCTGTTAATACAACTTCTGGAACTTATTCAGTGGCTCTCCTCTAATTCACCATCCTCACCTTGCCAATGAATTTAATTAAAAAGGACTAACAAATGAGCTTACTGCAATTTCGGTTGTTAGATAAGCAATTTTTCAAAACATACTCAAAGATATAGAGAATATTTTGTACTTTGAAAAGTACATTGCCAAACTATAGGTAAAATCATTCATCCATCTACGGGCTTTAGGCTTTATTTAGTCGCCAAATGAAGGAGACAAAACTTTATTTGACAATGGACGAGAGTAAAAATAAAAAAAATGTCAAGTATCATATATTATACCCCACAAGCCGTGGCCAAAAATGAAACCTCATACACTAGACCGCATTTTCAGGGGGGTCTTCGAAGTAACACTTTTTCCTCATATACATACGACAATAAAATTTTAGTATGGCGTATGATGTTTCAGGCCTTCTGATAAGGACTGCTATGTATATATGTCTACACTGCAGACAGTATTGCCAAGATATAGCCGAGATATAGTTGCTAATCATATGCTGCAATATATACTTAATAGCTGGGGAGTAGTTGCCATAGCTATAGCCCAAATTGCAAGAAAATTATTGAGCGTGTAGAGATAGTATTCGTCAATTAACTTGACTACAATATAACTGTAAAAATAGATACTTACGATTTGCCTCCATTCAATCGGCTCGGCGACGGCCGCGCCAATCACAAACACGACAAAGAAAGCACTATAATTCATATCTGAATTTTACTGTAAAATTTTCTTCGGCATTTAATGGATGAATGAATGGGTGCGCCCGCCATTAACGGCTTTTATACTAACCTTTCGCACACCAGCTGGTGACGAGTCATTCAGCCCATGGCGAAAAAATTTCAGCACGGAAGCTGGTTAGCTGTACAACAGCTTCCTTGGTGTTAAAAATAAGACGGATTCTTGGTAGACATGCTCTTAGTCAGCGGGATAAGAAAGAATGCGATGACCGGGCCAGTACGCTGGTTCGCTGTATCTTGGGCTTTTCCAGTATCATATAAAATAATTTGGTGTTGGCAATAACCCGGCGTCATTTATTTTCCGCGGTAGTTTAATTTACAAGATGATAGTAAAGTTCCTGGCCAAACTTCAGAGGGATGATAATCTCCCATGCTTGTCTGGTCAATAAAATGACATGTAATCTTTTTTACTTGCAACATTTGAGTCGAAGTTTGCATAACAATTAGCCAGTGTGTTACGACAACAGTTCTGGGTGGGTTTTCGCGTTTTTTGGAGGATTTTTTGGCGTTTTCGGGACGATGGACGATGTTGACGTCCTAGGCTATGCTCGTTTCGCGCAATCTCAGCAACAAAAAAGGAAACACAAACGAACTGTCAACTGGAAGATATAAATAAAATATATTGCCATTATACTGAAGATCCCCTTTGTGAATGAAAGATTCTGACAAAAAATGTGGTTTTATTGGTCAGACTAGTATGGGAGATTATCGACATGTAAACCACAGGATAAGTTTCAGAGGTATGCATCTGATGCCCGGTTTTTCAATCACAGGTTAACTTTTATTTTACTGCTATGAGTTGTCACAAAATGCACAGAATACAACGCCAGAACTTAACAAGCCAATTCACGGGCAACTAATAGTTAACTTCTAATTTACAGTTACTCAGTGTTAACTTGCGATTGAAAAACTGAACCCAAGAAAACCTGTTCAACTACCTAAACGTACATCCAAAAATATTCCGGTTTGAATAGCCCTTTAGCCAATTTTGTTGAAACTTGATGACATATGGTAGGTACACACATATCGCCGAAAACTTGACACAAAGAACGTTTTATTAAGTCCAAAAATTGTCACACAATCCCTTGATTCTGTTCGTTTTGGGGATTGGTCTTTATTGACGCTTTTTACTATCTACGTCTCTGGGCGGAGTATGGTATGCGATCGAAAAATGAAAAAAATAAAAATCGCTGAAATTTAATGTTTTGACGTTTCAGAGGCTCATTTTTCGGAAAAATTCTTGTACGGGTTGAAACTTTTTGGTTTGGCGTTGTAGCGGATGTAGAATATTATCCATTCGATCTGAGTATATTTACACGCTCCCAACCCTGCAATTCTATGCACCTATTAGCCATATCTCACACAACATGGATTTCCCCGTACATTGGCTTTTAAATTTAATGATAGAGAAAGATTTTCGGTTCGCGTACTCCTGCTTAAGCTCACCGCCGGCGAACCGGATATATACATACTCGAACCACGCACGAAATCAACTACTCAACGAAGTGACAACGTTGACAAATGGACTAAAACTGCCGGTAGGGGAAAGAATATCTATGGACTAATTGTATAGGCCTATTTGAGTCCGTTCACTCTCTCTATCGTACATGTTCATAATTAACTTTTTTCAGAGATGATGTAAATTGCGCAGAACTTAATCCTTTATGAACTGATGTACGGCGTTGCATATGAAGTGCAGAGTCAACCTACTTGACGACATTATTCGGTTTTGATATCGTATAGCAAACAAAGCATCATCTAAGTAGAACGTGAAAAAGGTAATAAAATAAAATGCCGATATACACAGAATGTCTCAAAACACCAATATCTGAGAATATCATCACCTGTGATGCATATGATAATGCATTCAAACTGAGTCATAAATAATTGGTAATGCATATGTGTTTAAGGATTCTTTGACTATTTTGTATATGATTATAACATCATACTTTAATTCCTAACAAACTTCGAATGATTAATATATTGTGATTGAATATTATTGTAGTAATGAATCATTAATTGCTATAAAGTGTTAAATAGCTTATAATAAAATAGGTACGTCCATTAATATCACAATAATGCTGTCAAAATTACTGAGTTTGCAACAGTATGATCCAAAAATAAGTTTAATCTCTGAATAAATATGTTTATGTGAATTTCATAGTGTGGCAGACACGAACGTGTTCCATTTTTTTATGAGTAATAACGGTTGTATACGCACACATGACCAAACAATGAAATACCACCTTACAAAAAATAATCTGGCTGGACATTCACCTTCTTGGATACAGTGACTCATTGGAAGATACACTGTGTACCGTTGAAATCAAAGCAGAATTTTGTTGACCTATTTAATTTTCTTCTGTATTTTGAAACTTCTAAGTATCGAGTCACTATCAAGCCTGTCGAACTTAAAATTAGCTTAAAATACTCAAGGTAGATTTTTTATGTGCTCAAGACAAAATTAGTTATTGTTAGCCCTGTTCGTCAGCAGTCGTCAACCTTTCAGTGACCGTGTCATAAAGATCCCGTTCAGGCTACAGCTTAAATGCCATGATAGATTTTGCCATACTCTAGTCTAGTGAGATTGGGCTTGACAGACAAAATGTCGGATCTTAAACGCAAATTTCAACTTTGAGATTTCTATTTCAAGGGCTGTAGCCCAAACAGCTTGATGAATTTTGACATTTGAGCAGTGGCGACGCGTGACTTTTCCTAAACGTTTACCAAAACCAGATATGAAAAATCTTATAAAAAAAAGTTTATTTTGAACCTCCTAAATATAAGTTTTTGCTTATTTTAGGTATTTTATTTAAACTATTTTTAAATTAAGGTAAACATTCTTGGACTGAGCGTCTGGGGCACTTGATATACCTCATCATCTATGCTATGACTAATCCAAGCCGTCCGAAAAAACAGTCGACCTTTCTAGATGTGCGAAAAATGTTTGATCTTTTTTGGCAATGAATGTTAACAATTCCCTGTAATTTCCTCTATTGTCAGAGTCATCCCCTTCAAATTGAACGGTAATTCCTGTTTTGCCAAAAAACATACGGTATCTCGAAGTATGCTGCCTAAAAGCTTGGTTAAAACAACTTTCGATTCTTGTTTTGCCAAACTGAGCTAAATTGGCTACACATCTCACATGTAACGGAGAAATTTCATGTCTCTTTAGAGCCATAAAACTTTTTAAATCGTTGACTTCGCTGCTGGTCCACCCATTTTTGCTGTATAAAACACAAGACATCGCCAATAATACAATTTGTTTTTTTGCAACCACATAACCAAGAGTTTCCATATACCAACTTAATTTAAAATATCAAACTACGTTTTTTTATTCCTTTTTAAAATTATCTAAAATATACTAAGTGACATATAAATCCGAACACCCAGTTTAAATGGTTTTATTTTAATAAAATTTTGTATAAGTACTTAATGAAGCATAATAAGTAAATGATAAAAATTTCAAAATGATTGCACTGCTTTAAAGCCCTTTGACCTTTAATAATGTGTGGATGTACCCTGATGTGCTACGCATTCTCCAACGCGCCTAGGCATGCTTCTGATCAGGTGGTCAATGTCCTCCTGAGGTATCTCATTCCAGGCAACCACCAACTCCTCTCGAAGTGCTTCTAGAGTCTGAGGAGGACGTTGCAAATTGAGCAATCTCCTACCCATCATATCCCACACGTGCTCAATTGGGGATAAGTCGGGAGATCTTGGTGGCCATGGTAACAATGTGACATCATTATGTTGAAAGAAGTCTATTGTGACTCTTGCAACATGTGGTCGGGCATTATCTTGTTGGAAAGTTGGATCTGCCAGGGTGTCAAGATAGGGTAAAAGATGGGGTTCTAGAACTACGTGGATATAACGCTGCGCGTTCATGTTACCTCTGATGAAGATTAAAGGTGACCGGGAACCATAAGCTATAGCACCCCAAACCATAACTCCAACAGTGTGATGAACATGTCTTTCAACAAAAAACTGTGGATTCCTCCTTTCACCACGTCGCCTTCTAACCCTGGCACGACCATCGTGCATGCCTAAACAAAATCGAGACTCGTCACTAAAGACAATACTGTTCCATTCCTGATCCCAGAGTGACCGTTGTCTGCACCACTCAAGGCGATTACGTCGGTGTTCTCGAGTTAAAGGGAGGACCCAGCGTGGCCGGTATGAAAACAAGCCAAAACTTCTCATTCGTCGGTAAACACTCCGCATGCCAATAGGTCTTCCGTGTTCTGCAAACCATTCATTTGCAATGAACCTGGTAGTGGAGAAACGGTCCCTTAAGGCCAATAATCTTAGGCGGCGATCTTCACGGTCTGTTGTTCTACGGCGGCGTCCAGTGCCCCTTGCTCTTTGCGTACGGCCTTCTCGAAGCCATGCCTGACAACACCTAACCACAGTGTCTACACTTCTTGGCACTCTAACTGCAATTGCCCGAAAAGAAAGTCCAGCTTCCCGAAGTCCCACTATACGGCTCCTATCAAACTCACTAAGTTGACGAAATCGTACAGGTCTCCGTACTCTAGGCATCGTAACCGATCGTAAAGGATGTCAAGAACCAAAATCCGCCAACGTTGATTCTTTACTGCGGTTGAAATATTAATTTTTAGAGCGTTCGTAAATTAAAAAAAAGCAGTATAAAAAGCGGAGTGTCTAACTGGCTGAAAAATTTTTCACTTGTTATTTACAGTAAGATAAATACATTCACCAACTTTTATTAAAATAAAACCATTTAAACTGGGTGTTCGGATTTATATGTCACTTAGTATAGGTGTTGGTCTTTCATTTTCAATGATCTCCTTTTTTTCTTAAAAATTATACAAGGAGAATAACTTTCCAAGTAGTTAATCGATTACGCAGCGACACTCATCCATGTTTAATTGCACGCACACTACAGCCGGTAACCAAAACGGCTACTAACGAGTGAGAAGACTGAGAAGTGAGTAACCAAATCAAAAACTGGTAACACGCCCACATAATAGTCGCAG